CCCCCCTCTGGTTACGTCACTGCATGGAATTGAGAGTTTTAGACCTCTGGATTTTAGTTGTAATTTAGAACAAGAAAATTGAAAATTTGTGCAAAAGCTAGAGCATTTCGAATTCTCAACTATTACAGTGTATTTGTTCAAATCTAATAGGCTGTCCCTGAACATTGGTCATGAGGAGGGGAAATTTTGGAGAAAGAAAAATTGTGACAATCAGGTTGGAGGCCCACCTAAAGCTCTGGCTAATTTTTAGATTCAAGTCATCTGAACAGGGCTGCTACCAAATGTTTCTAGCGTTTGCACTATGACATCATAGGGTCTCACAAACTCATTAAATCGTTCTGCACCCCTGTCAGCCCCTACAGTTGAAAAGGATGCTTGCCCTTGAAAATAATAGGCAATACTATGTTAAACCACAGGTTTGAATTCTTGTTATTAATCTGAAACAAAAATTCCTGTCATTTGGAGAACATGTCTATGAAGAAAGCCATTTGAAATCTACTTCGGAAAAATGGTGCCTTTTGCTGGGCAAAAAATTAAAACAACATCTGCTGAGAAATAATTAGCCTGGTTAGTTGGCTCATGAGAGAACTGCAACATAGAATAGGAAATCATATTTTGATTAGTTATTTAATATACATGCATGTGCTATCAAACCTAATCAAGCAGTTTCTGGTAATAGTAAGTAACAGATTACAATGTTTGTACATTTAAGAGCAACAGTGCTAAATTATTTATACTAAAGTAATATCTGGTATAAAATTAAATAATTTGTCCCTCATACATTTTGCATGTTCACTGCATCTCAAACTCAAAGGCACTGAGGCAGTGCACTCATGCAGCATCTTCAAATTTGGGATAATTTGCAAATTTAAATATTTGGGTATATTAAACCTATTCCAATACAAAACAAAACACAATAATATAGAACACAACAATTTATCAAATAAAAGCAAAAAATGTATTAAAATCTTTATTATGAAGTATTTACATTAAATTTTCTAGTTGAAGTTGTAGATTCATATACTTGGCAACTTGGAATTTTTGAACAAGACATTTTTCGCTTTGTTTATATGTTAAATTTTTTATTTTGTTTGCCATTCTTGCTAAAATATCTACAAATAAATACTTTTTCTCTTTTCAAACCAGCTCAGAATTTGGTTTAAAATGTATTTTCATGCAAAAACCCACATCTAACTTTTGTAGTCTTCGTATACACTCCTTGTGATAGCAGCCATGTTGCCAATATATCACCCGGTTAATGAATAACGTTTGGTACTTTCATTGTATTTGCATTGACCAATCAAATCACGTTCTGAGTTGGATTATTCCAGAGCTTCTGAGAGCAATAAGCGCAGAAGCCATGGGTACGAGGTTGCGTGTTATTATGATCATGATATTTTTTTGAGTGTTTTTCTGTTCGAGTGTGTGGTATTTCGGAACAAAGTCTAGCAGTACAATCGATACTCATGTGTTCTTATGATCATGATATTTTTTGTGTGTGTTTTTGATGTTATGTAATTATTAATAAACATTGTTTTACACTGTGTGTGTTTTTGTGTGTGTTTTTGATGTTATGTAATTAAACATTGTTTTACACTGCTGTCAAATCAATTAGCAACCCCTTTCCAAGTGTCTCACCTCCGCTCAGCCCCCTGCTACGGAGCTGGTACAAGCATGGGTAGCACGATTGATCACTAATTAACTAAATTTTAAACTAGCAAATGTAAACAAAGGATATTTTAAATCATATTTATCACCTAAGCTATAAAGGCTGTCGAACTGCAATAATGCCAGGTATCTGAAAGAGTAGAAAAAACATCACGGCAGAAATCATATCTCGTGAATGATTTTGAAAGTTCCTAAAAAAAACACAATTTTAAAATTTCAGCATTGTGTCAAACCCAGTTGTGCTAAACTATTGTTGTACCCATGATAAATCTTGCAATAATTATCACTAAAATTCAGTTGATGAGGGAGCAATCGCGTTCTACACTTTATTGTTGGCTCTCTGACTGTTATATATTAAATAATCACAGAACGTGGTGAACTGTATGCATTGTTTTGTTTTGTTTTGTTTTGTTTGGCACTGTTCTGTTCTGTTCCGTTCCGTTTTGTTCCGTTCGGTTTTGTTTTGTTTTGTTTTGTTTTGTTTTGTTTTGTTTTGTTTTGTTTTGTTTTGTTTTGTTTTGTTTTGTTTTGTTTTGTTTTGTTTTGTTTTG